CAAATCCCTATGGATGATATTCTTGCCATGCATGTAGTCAAAAGCAGCAGCTATCTGTGCAGCATAGAACTTAGACTGCTCATCAGTGAACTTCCTAGCCCGTCGTAAATGAGTAAATAGCTCACCTAAGCGTGAGGATTACCTCTGATGATGCTAGTATTGGTAGTAGGTTGGGTATTACCTCCATTGACGACTTCCATCACGATATAAACGAATCTAGTGTCCTTGAATGATCCCCGCATATTGACTATAAAAGGATGATTAAGTTGATTAAGGAGGTTACGCTCAGCGTTGATGTGATCAACTGAACAACATCAACAGCAGCTATTACTCTACTGCTACCTCCCTGCTTGGACACTACCTTGTTTCAGCTTTAGTATCTCGTGCTTCTTCATGAACTTGACAGCGTAATGTTGTCCATCACCCTTATACTTGGCATACTTCACTCTACCGAAACTCCCTGTCCCCAGAGTACGGATAAAATAGAAATCATCCAGATTCATTTTGCTGCTGCTAGGCATTTTGATAAGTAATCTTATCACCAATAAGAAGGACTGCTAATACCGCACTGTATACATGTTCTATCCTTCGAAAGGCATTAGAATAGATGACAGAGAGTAGCGAGACAGGACAAGGTAGCAAGAAGAGACGCCGACCACGTGTCTCAAGGTGCGGCGGGGGGCCGTCACACAACAAGATGTTAACACAGCGTGAATGCCTCTCCAATAGCTATCCTTGAATCGTAATGATATTATATTCAACAGCTAGGAGGTTCCACCTAGCTTACTCATCATTGCCCATACCAATCACCACGACGACGACCATGGTTGGAAAGTGCATCCGTTTCGAGCGGCTCCTCCTCCTCCTTCGTGGCGGGCGAGCTATGATGGGCACGTGACGTGAAGATACACGGCGTCGTCGTCGTTTGGGGATATGGTGATTGTGTTGCTCATTACGGTTTTCCTGTGAGATACCTGATGAATTACTTGAGGCATAGATGGTGGAGTTTTATAATATTTCATAAACCTTGAGATATAATAGCTACTGAGTAGCTACTATTTGTATACTACTTTCACAGGATTGTATTTTAATTGTCCCTATTGGCAGGCATCAGCAGCTATCGCTCAGCTACAGATTACCCTATTCTGACTGTCATTGGATATCATCATCATCATGTCGCAGTATATAAGGTTCTCTGGTGACGACTTAAAGGTTTTTGAGGCGGAGATACTGTATCGTGCCAAGATTATAATATCACGTTCAAGCTCTCGTGATGCAGTAGCAGCGAGAGGTCAAGCATTTGATGATGTGGCGAGTGAGCTTCGTAAGGCTAATGGTGATGTATTTCGGACACCTAAACAAGTGAGGACTAAATGGGCATCAACAAGGCAAAAGATAATGACCTACTACAAGACGGGTAAGCTACCACAATCTAAGTGTGAGGCTGAGATGGTACGTAATATGGCTGAGAGCTTGAGATCCTTATTGGAGCAACCACAGGCTATAAGCGACTCTACTAGTACTACAGCTGCTTCATCGTCGAGTGCATCTCCACCATCGGTTATTGGAGGATATATCCCATCTTCGTCCTCTACTAATTCGAATATGCATCGCATTAATATATGCCGTGTTGCTACTACTACTGGCCCTGTACCTCAGGCATCGCGGAGTCCCTCTCGATCAGCATCTATTATGGCCACTGATCAGTATAACTCTGGTGTACATGATACTACTAT